AAGATAAACCCGAATGCCTACCGCCTGCGGCTGCCTTCCCATTTGAGGACCTCTGATGTGTTCAATGTTAAGCACCTTGTGCCATTTTTGGGCGACAATTCGGATGGAGACAAGATCGATCCGGATTCGAGGGCGAATCCTTCCAAACCGAGGGAGGATGATGGAGACGAGATCGCGATGGCGTTTCTACAGAAATACGACCGGATGCCTTCTTTAATCTAGTTATTTATTTCCTAGTTTTATTATTATTCCATGTTTTTATTTAATATTTATTTAAGTAGTATTTCCTTGTTTAGCATGTTCAGGAAACCTAGGATTTTGGGGCTATTTATTCCCCTTCTTCTCTCTTATGAAGACAGTTTTATCATGAATAAAAGTTAAGAACTTTGAGATTTCATCTCTGTATCCCTTTTGTTCGAAGTTGCGCTACATCACTCAAATAGGGAACTAAGCAAATAAAACCAAGATAAATAAAATTTCCGGGGAGTACACAAATTTGCGCTGATACTAAAAACAATGAACGTTTATGTAAAATTTGCGGAAGCGAATAAATAAAAACGAACTTTCAGGAGAGCGTCCCACTCTCCTTCAGAACTCTTTCATTAAGTAAGTGTTTGACCAACAAGTACAAATAGGATTTACACGCATAAACTCCCTCTAAGCTAACCTACTTTGTACTCCATCCACCTAACTACTTTTCTGGCCACGGCGTAGACTTACGCTGCACGTATGGATCCCTCCAAGGAGAATAAAGATGCTCGTCCCAAGCACCAAGTAGAAACAAAAACAGAGACTGACAGCTCGAATTACCAGCAATGAACCTTCACGCTGGAATCCAATCACTCTATAAAATATAATCAGAAACTCACGAGCTCTCAATGAATATAACTCTAAACTCTCTGAATGAATAATCGAACTTCTCGTTAACTACAAGAGCTTGTGAAACTAATATATATATAACCTATATACGGTATGCAGGTTCATCAGAAATTTGGAGTTTCCAAAGTTACTTGATCTTCTCGCTCAACTTTGGAAATTGAATCTCCATGCCTTGTAGATCATGATGCTCTAATATCTTGCCCAAATCTTCCAGATTTATATGCGCCTCTCTCTCTTCAGTCTTGCGAACTTTCTTTCCTTGTTTCGGTGCGAACCTTCGGAAATATCAGCTTGCCGATTTCTTTCCTTTTCTTGCTCGATTGCTTGCTGATTTCTTTCCTTTTCTTGCTCGATTTTCCAGCTTTCTTCCACAAGATTTCAACTCCTAAATCTCACAAGAATATCTCCCCTTTTATCATCTTTGCTCTTCCTTTTCCTACAAGTAAAAGAAGATATTAAATAACATAACATATAGTAAGAGAATATCAAAATAAGGAAAGAGGATATACATAAAATCTCCTAATGAATCTAATATATTTCCTTTACCTACAAGCTAAAGGAATATAATTAAATCCAAATAACATAAAAGGAGAATAATTAAAATATGGAAAGTTAAGATAGAAATCTTCCCTTTCTCTTCAAGCATTATTCCATGATACCTATTTCAAGAAACAAATATGATAAATAAATAATATTTTCGATTAATGCCAAATTATATTTTCTTACAATATCCCCCTTTGGCATATAGATCGAAAACCCGTTTCTTGAAACAGAACCTGCAAAAGACAAGTCAAGCCTGCAACCAGTGCAGATGAACCAACATAGGTCATCAAACTATATATCAAACCATAGAGCATAAGACCAAAAATCAGAGTATAGCAGGTCACAAAATCAAAATATCAGAGCAAGATGGCAAGACTCAAAAATGAACTATCAGATCAAAATAATCAAAGAAAGAACACTAAATCAGAGCCTATGAAAGTACGTGATCAGTGTTAAGGCTCAAGGTATCTAATCAGAGCAAATCCAGAAATAATCAGAACTCACATGAATCTTCATAACTGTACTGTCCACAGACTTCTCCAATCAATCAGAACTTACATTTCCATCCTTTTGCATATTTCTCCCCCTGTTTCCGATCTAAATGCCAAATATTTAGCACTTGTTGCTCCCAAACTTGACTCCAGACCAGAAATGAAAGATGTAGGTACATCCAAATTCGAGAATAAAAAATGTATAGAATAAGAGAAGTCGTAAAGAAAGAAATTCTGGTTGTAAGAGAGACAGTGAGATGGATAGTAGGACAAGAAAAAGATATGGTTCCAAGTCATGTGAAGAACAAAAGAAAAGTGATGGTTCCACTCATAAACACACTTCATAGTCAAGACACGAAACATCATTAGATAAGGAATAAAATCAAGATTAGACAAATAGTCAAGACAATGTACCCAAAATAATTTTGAGCATGGATTCTTTTTCATTCAAACCTCATAGGAAATCATGCAAGAATGCCTAAAAATGAAGTAAGTCGCACACAAAAATAAAAAATCAAACACACAAAATCACAATGTTCGCACACGTAAGTGATACAAATAATCCAATAATTCGAAAAATCTTTCCAAGCAATCCTCATAACTGCGGACACTAAATAATATGCAAATGAACAAGATAGAATGCAGCATCTTATATCTCCCAAAGACTTCTACGCCACGTTTCTCTTAGCAATAACCGGAGTATTCCATCTAGAAATCAGCCCCAATACTTTGTGATATAGTTATCCTATTTAATGAACTTCCGCACCCTGTTTCACTTACTAACAACAGCTATACGCCGAAGTCAAGCCCATTACTTTTGAGCGCGGTTATCCAACACAATATTTTTAGCCTACTCGCTGCACTTTCAGGTTTTTTTATTTATTTTTTATTTTTTATGAAGTGACAAACCTTATGCAACAGATGAACTTACATCACTCGTGAAAGCAATAACTGCAAGTAGCTTTCACACCTCACGCATATTCTAAGCACGTAACTCGTTTCACAGGTGACCACAATTGAAACACCTCATGTGATAGTTGCCCGCTGCTCATTTTGTGAGAGTAGCTCTTTCTCGCAGAATTAAAGGGTGATTGTGCCGCAAAAATAAAAGAAAACTTAGTCCAATCAATCAAACATCAAACCAAGTCGAGAGCACCCATGTATACGCTCAAAATGATTCTATGGTGCAATAATGCAATGTGCAAAATATGCCTAATGCAATAAACCTACATGAACCGTGCAATAGATAATAATGTACTTACATATATAATACAATATAATACAATATAATGCAATCACACAAGCAAATCACATAATACACATCCCTAAGGATTTCCTTAGAGATATAAAACGTTGAGAATCCAATGCTTTTGTGAAAATATCAGCGGGCTGATCTTGTGTAGGTACATGATCCAAAACTATAATCCCATCCTCAACTAGATTTCGAATAAAATGATATCGCATGTCAATATGTTTAGTGTGTGAATGTTGGACAAGGTTTTTGGATATGTTTATGGCGCTGGTGTTATCACAAAAAAGTTGACTAGACTGTACCTTCATCCCGTATTCAAGAAGAACTTGCTTCATCCACACAAGTTGGGAACAACAACTCCCAGCAGCTATGTACTCGGCTTCGGTAGCCGACAAAGAGATGCAATTTTGCTTCTTACAGAACCAAGAGACAAGTTTTGTACCAATGAAGAAACATCCTCCGGATGTACTTTTTCTATCATCAAGATTCCCCGCCCAATCGGCGTCACAATAACCTGCAAAGCTTGAACTTGTTTCAGAAGAATAAAAAATCCCATAATAAGATGTACCGCCAACATACTTAATGATATGTTTGACGGCCTTCAAGTGCGATTCTTTGGGATCGGACTGGTACCTAGCACACAAACCTACACTAAAGCAAATATCAGGTCTACTAGCTGTAAGATACAACAAACTACCTATCATGCTTCGGTATGAGTTCGCATAAAAGTCAGAGGGTGTTTAACATTTTAAAGACCAAATTTCTTAACCAAATTCTTAGCATACTTACTTTGATGGCGAAAAATATCATCCTTACCTTGCTTTACCTGAAGTCCGAGGAATTATGTAAGTTCACCTACAAGGCTCATCTCAAATTCGGAGGACATGAGCTGTACGAAGTGGTTGACCATAGTCTTAGAGGTTGAGCCGAAGATGATATCATCCACGTAGATTTGAACAAAGAGAAAGTCCTTGTTCGTCTTGAGAGCAAAACACATCTGATCGACTCCCCCTCACTTGAAGCCCGTATCCAGAAGGTACATGGTCAGCCTCTCGTACCATGCGCGTGGCGCTTGCTTCATTTCATACAATGCCTTCTTAAGTCGGTACATATGATTAGGATAGTTCGGATCAGTGAACCCATCAGGTTGCTTCACATACGCAACTTCATTCAAGATTCCATTCAGAAATGCGGATTTCACATCCATCTGGTACACAATAAACCGCATTAGACAAGCAATAGATAAAAATATACGGACCGACTCAAGTCTCGCAACGGGAGCAAAAGTCTCATCAAAATCAACTCCCAGAGCTTGAGTGTACCCTTGAGCAAAAAGACGTGCCTTATTTCTAGTGATATTACCAAATTCATCAGTTTTATTTTTAAAAAATCCATTTTTTTCCTATCACATTACACGATGAAGGTTCAGGGAGTAACTCCCACATGTCATTCCTAGTGAATTGCTCTAATTCCTCCTGCATTGCTTGAATCCAACACTCATCTTTTAGTGCCACCTTATCATTCTTAGGTTCTACCATAGAAGTGTAACAAGCAAAGTGCGAAATTCCAATCATTTTCTTAAAATCTAGCCTAACACCTCTGGTTTTTCTTTCATCTAAGGACCTATGACATGCTCTAAAGGATGATCTTTCTGAATCTTTGCAGGTGGGTCCCGCTTTGATTTAGGCAGATTTCCTAACAATGAAGGTTCATCGGACTCAAAATTTTGAAAATTTTCACCAACATTGTCCAGAGCAGGTTCTTCCTTCCTAACATCATCCTCATTCACCTCAACTTCTTGTTTATCCTGAGAAGAAACAAAATTAACAAAATCAAAACCAATAGAACTAGATGAACGAACATTCAGCAAAACATCATCAAAAGTGACATTCATTGTTTCAATAACCGTGTGAGTACTTGTGTTATACACCCTGTAAGCACGACTATTAGAAGAGTACCCAAGAAAATAACCAATATCACTCTTGGCGTCAAACTTACCTAGCTGCTCACGGTCATTATAAATGTAGCACTTACAGTCGAATATATGCAAATGTTTGAGATTCGGAGACTTACCTTTCCAGAGTTCATAAGGAGTAACACCAATACCTCGTCGAATGTATACCCGGTTGGTGAGATATCATGCAGTGTTAATTGCTTCAGCCCACCAACGAAGTGACATCTCCTTAGAATGAAGCATTACTCTCGTCATTTCTTGCAATGTTCGATTTTTCCTCTCCACAACACCATTTTGCTGAGGTGTCTTAGGGGAAGAAAACTCATGAAAAATACCACGTGAGTTGCAAAAATTAGAAAAATCAACATTCTCAAACTCACGGCCATGATCACTTCGAATCCCAATAATAGGAAAGCCTTTTTCTTTTTCCAATCTCAAGCAAAGAGTTTTAAAAGTGTCAAAAATATCAATTTTTTCTCGAATAAAATCCACCCATGTACAACGAGAAAAATCATCAATACACACGAATATGTACTTCTTACCATTGTAACTCTCTACCTGAATCGGTCCCATCAAATCCATATGAAGTAGTTCGAGTACTTGTTTGGTAGTGATCTGCTGTATAGCCTTGTGGGGTGTACGTGTCTGCTTCCCCATTTGTCAAGGTCCGCAAACTGGACGAACCTTCATTGTCAGTTTC